TTTCTGGAATTAAAGCTCGACAGCGGGGAAACGATATTATTTATAAATAGTTAGGTTGGGCCATCAACGATCTCGGAATTCCGGTATAACCCAAAACGGACGGAACTAACCGTTTATATTTTTAGCTTAGCTTATAAATTTGGTAAATAACTCTACCTGGATGAGGAAAACATTCTGAACAGAGGTGAACTGAACAATGTCTGCTCCAAGCAGAAGTAGTCCACTGTGACTGATTCAAGTTTGGCAACCCACGGTTTATTTTCGAGTTATGAAAAAAAGATGTCTTTAAAGCTCGTTTCAACTGATATACGTCACGTATTTAATACGTCTCTGACGTAAAAACCCCTTATAAAGAGAAGAGGGTCATTGAAAATCCACTCTCGAGGAAATAATTCATATTAGCATTTCTAGGAAACGGACCAAAACAAAATACGGCGCCAGGGAGAATATTCAGCGTCAAATGGCAACAGTCAGTTCCAAAAAAGCGAAAATTCTCTCAACCAGCTCAAGCGCAGCGTGGCCAACTTTCCAAAAATCGTGACTTGGCAAATTTCCGAGCAGGGTTTCAGACCGTAATTAGGCTCTCTTTTGCAAGTTTCGCGCCTTGAACAAACAATGAGCTCGAGGCTTTAATCATGCCTAAAATCTTGAAGACGTGATGAAATGTGGAGGCCGAACAGGAAGATTAAGGTTATAATAAATTAGCGAAAACAAAAGCTCCTTCCATTGTGGTTAGAGTTACGTAAAGCTGGATCGAAACTATAAAAAATACGTGCTTAAGGACCGCAAACTTGCCATGAAGGCATAAATGAGATAAGCTTCCAAATTTGGCCTGACCTCAGCATTCAGTGATTTCTTTCGAAAGCATTTGCGTGTTGGAAGCGAAAAGAAAGACAAAAGAATTATTACGTAAGCCGTTGTGCTAACTGGAAAAAAAGTACTGGCGTTTGCAAATGTCCCTCAGTATTTTCCCAAGCCTTAGGCAAAAAGAAATATCGCATTGCGTATAGAAGAAACAAGAACAAAATACATGTGAAAATAAGAAGCATTTTTTTTTTTGCTCCACATTTTTCGTTGACGCAAAACTGACAAAAGCAATTTTGAATCTCTGAATGATATATTGTTTTGCTCTTCTGAAGATAGTAATGACGCGAAAACAAGTCGTATTGCGGTGAAAGAAAGAGGAATAAAGCGAAGCAGCGACGTTTGAATTGATTTTCCACAAATTCAAAGCTTTTTGAAGCCTTAATTTTTATATGAAAGAATTTCTACGATACCGTAAGTGGCCTCAAGTGTTTTCCGGTGTTCTCAGCTTAAAACAGTGAGAGTTCCATCTTTATAATTAGGCTTGCCCCACTTCGAAGTCATATTGCTAATTTCTGTCAAGAAAACTACACAAGAGTTGATAGATAACATGTTGTTTTCGAACTTCGGAGACCAGACCTGACCAAACCCATGTCTGCATTGTGCATTCCGCAAATTCCTCGTACAACCCTTCACTTTCGCGTTGTAACTCACCAGTTTGTACCGATAATTAGGGTTCTTTACAAAGATAAAATAAAACAGAAATGAATTTTCTTACACTGCCATCTTTCAGAGCAAGCATTTTTTGAAGGCTTGATCAGAAAGGAATAACATTCATAATTATTCATGCGCGTTTAAACAGAAATAAGGATTCCCCTTTGAGGGTCTCACTAAAATCCGGAAAGCTAAACCAGAAAAAAATCCAATATTCCAATTGAAGGGACTTTTACGCATTTCCAAACAGGAAATTCAAAGAGCTTCCTCTTTACTCGGCAAAGTTTAAAGAATTTATACAA